ACTGATCTTGCCCTCTGACTTCAGTTTGCATTACAGTTATGGGTATTGTCACTACAGTCACACTTAAGACCCGTATCAGACATAATAGTGATCTCTTTTATGGACTATGTTTTCTGGAATAATTGCATGCTTTTACTACCATTATTAGGTTCTTTGAGCTATGCAAGAATTCCATTTCTATTTTTTTATGGGTTTCTTATTTACTCTGGAATTCTAAGCAAGGAACATTCTGATGGGGAGTAAGCACTCTTTGAAAGGTCCACCTTGAATTTTGTCAAAAGCAAGATACTGATGGTCAGGACAGGGTTAATGATGCTACTGTGTGTTTTTGTCTCAAATACCAATAGTTTTCAGATGGGTGTTCCTATCATATCCTGTTTTCAAGCAGGCACTTCTCTATTTGTGTCTAGGATGTTTCCTTTGTGGTTGCCTAGAGCAGCATCACAGAGGAGACTGGCATTGTCAGTTTAAACCTTAACCATCCTCCCTCCCCCCCCCACAAACACACACTCTGAGCAGACTCTGATCAGAACAGGTTTAAGTATTTATTTAGTGGGCGGATCCGTAGAAAGTTAATGGAGAAAAGGGGGAGTGTGAAACTGAGAAGGAAGAGAATCTGCATATATAAAAAGCAGATGATAGTTGTAAGCAACTTTGGCTTCGTCACTGGAGATAGTGCCCTGCAAAATTCTTCTTGCAGTTGTCCAAAGGAAGAATGGCCAGAGATGCTTGTATATGGATTCACTCATTCTTGTCACGCATTGCTTGCAAATTATTCATTAACATATTCAATGCCTGAAACTTCCAGAACTGCTGGGCATGGCTTGAGCAAGCTCTCCAAGAACTGGCAAAAGCCCCTCAGGCAAAGAAGTTGTGATGGGAAACTGTCAGCTTACCAGCCAAAGTCTACCAGGGCTATAGTCAGAGGTGGCCCAAAGTGAATGGGTTTCGGGAAGCAGATGTTTTTCCTCATGTTTCATTTGCAATAGAATGTCAAGGGTTCATGAGGGAGGAAGAGTGGAGAAGGGGGGAAATGAGGAACTGATATCAAGGGCTTAAGAAGAAAAAAATGCTCTGAAAATGATGATGGCAACGTA